AAAAATACACAAAACACGATAAAATGGACCGATCGACACTAAAACGAGCCTAAAAACTATAAAATAAAGCACATAAAATACATGAAAATAAGCACAAAAACACAATAAACACCTTACTACAACCAAATGTGAAGGAGGGGTAGGCAAAGCAGTGCTAACAAACTCGGAGTACCCAAAAGTTGAATTGAAGTTTTTTCGCCAGTCCATGAAGAAAGTAGGAATTCCCGAATGCTGTTGTCCTAATGAAACCATTTGATTGTTGCTTGAGTTATGCTGCTTGTTGCTTTACAGGTTGTTGTTATGGACGGTGTTATCTTGTTTAACCAGGCGGCAAATTCGTTTTTCCTTGGCTCCAGCTCTGTGTATGGACGACGCTCAAGGAGAAACATTCTTTACTTAAAATCTCCTTCAATTTCTGTTGTAGTTGAGGATTCTGTATACAATTTGACATATATTGTAAAGTATGGTTAAGGTTATTAATACTTGGCCGGAGCCCAAAAAAAATAAAAATAGAAAAAAGAATGAACAAACTTTAGCTTTATTAAGCTGATCACAAACTGGGATCTTATCCATTTTGCTTGAATATGCTAAAACTGTTTTGAAATGCATATAAAGTTCTCCTTTGGAAAACCCACCCAGTATAAAGTTCTCCTTTGGAAAACCCACCCAGAAGTTGAACCGTAGCATTCTCTCTACATCCAAGCCAAGCCCCTAGAAAAGAAAATAAATAAAAATAAAATAAAATCCTAAAATCAAGTCACTTTTGGCCTATGCATGATGATAAACCTCCTCCTACTAACAACATTCACATTCTCACCAATCTTAGCCTACTGTGCCATTCTTCTCTTGGCCGACTCCGAAACCCCCATCTTCTTATCATCCTCATCCTTTATCAAAGGACTTTCCTCCCCCGAGCACCCAAGTATTTGTTTCAAAGTCTCAACTACCTTACTCATCTCCAGTCGGTCCCTTGCACTTTTCACCAAACAACTATCAGCCAATTTAGCCATTTTGCGAGCCGCACTAAGAGAGTACTCTTTATCTAGCCTCGGGTCGATTATCGTGCTGAATTTACGACTATCTGCAGGGTATTGTTTCACCCACTCCAATAGATTTTGTTCGCCCCTCGGACGATCCCTTTCTAGGGACCGCCTGCCTGTCAAGACTTCGTACAAAACTACACCGAAACTCCACACTTCGCTCTTTGAGGTGAGGTGCCCCGTCACTATGTAATCCGGAGCAGCATATCCATATGTCCCCACAACCTATGACACGAAATGCATTACATACAGACAAAATTAGTTTCTACACCAAACCATTTCAGCTTTCCTTTTCTTTTTCCAAAGTAATGATTGATCGAGCTCTTGGTAAGCCAAAGTAGATAAACAGGACATGATACCAAGCTCCATGCATTTTTACTGTAATTATCGGTCCTAATAAGGCTAATAACACAAGCATATGTTGTTTCTTTAGTCTTTACTAATTGGCGAATTTTTTTACACACCACAAGATACTAAAGAAATTGCAATCCTGCCAAGAGAATGATTTTATTTGTATATGTACCTAAATAAATGCATTTAATATGGGTGAATAATAAGAATCAGTTACCAAAATAACAGACACCCTATAATCATGCCATTAACTCCTTGTTTGTGAAAAAAAAAAGGGAAGTAAAAGCAAATCAGAATTTTGCTGCTATATACACGATATGTTTTTTAAAAAAAGGAAAAGATCAGGCTTTGAAAAAAATATGTCATCTCAAATCGGTATATATAGAGTTTATACATAATATATAAAGAACATATACACAAGATATACAGAAAAATATATAAGTCCAGAAAAATACATATAATATATACAGAACATATACACTAGATATACATAAAACATATAAGTCCGAAAAATATATAACGATCGAACATATACACGATATACAATATATACAAAAATCAGTCCATATAACATATACATAAAAATGATCGAACATATACACAACATATAACATATACCCAATATACAAAATAAAAAGCAGTATATTTGTCTGGGACATATACACAACATATACACAATATACACAATAAAAAACATCGTAATAAGCAACAAATCGAGAGTACAAATCAACTCCCAAGAAAAAAAAAATGCAGCCCCGTCGGTCCGCGTCTGGTGGCTCGGAGGTCAGGGCTCGGAGATGGTGGCTCGACGTTAGAGATTGAGGCTTACGAAGGTCGCAGCCTCGTCGTAGGTCGGTCGAAGGTCTCCAGAAACTGAAGCTTGATCGCCAGTGGTTCAGGTATGTTTGGTCGCGGGTCTGCTCTGCGTGTTTGGATTCGACTCGCCGCGACATGAGTGGACGACTTTCGTCGACGCCGGGATTGACGCTCTTGGTCCGGTGAAGTTTGGTCGGAATCGGCTTTTCATGATCTAGATCTGTTTTTTTTT